CTTTGTAAAAATACGACGTCCGTTTGGCTCAAAGCCTCCTCGGGAGCGCCAATCTCGTCCTTCAAGCCCGGTCTGCAGTACCGGAACCCGAAGCGCCGATACCTGTGGTATCCGACCGAGCCCTGGATCCACGGTAACAGCCCGCTCGCTGCATCAGTCAAGGCAGGTCTCGGGAGATCGTTATGAGCGACCCTCTCGGTTATATGTGGCCCAATACGTTCCGCCTCAGGCCTCCTCAGTCGGCGACGGCCAACATACACGGCGGCAAAGACGCATCTCTTGCTACGGATGCCACGCTCGCGGGCGACGCCTGGTTGGTACCTCGCTTCGCAGCTGGAAGGTCGCCACCCGAATTCAAGGGTATGCCGGGCCGAGAAACCAAGACCTAGGGCAGGGAGGGTGGGTCCAAGCACAACCTGATTCGTAAATCATGAAGAGTAAGTAGGTTGAAGTTATGATATAGTATTCCCAGTCGGCTGTACAGTATACATATTTCTTCGATGCAAGATTACCCGATCCAAAGCATGCTTTCTACTTCTGTGCCAATGAATCCAGCATTACAGAAGAATCATTCGAAATTTGTGGTTCCGACCGGCCAGTAACCGAGGCGGAGGCGAACCAGATAGTTCGCTCCGAGTTATTCGAGATGGGAAGGGAGGGGTTACCGAGCACTTCTTCGCTCAACATCATCTGTCGTGAAACCATGAAAATTATAATCGTGGGGTATATGCCCTGGAAAGCTTCGTCAACGGACTGAACCCGGATGAGCAGGACAGACACTCTTACAGAGATATATGGTTGGAACCACTCGAAGTCGAAGTCGGGGCCGTAATAACCGTAGTCTCCGACCATCAGTAATATCTGTCTGCTTGTCAGGGGTTGAAAAGAAAGAAAGAAGGAAAGTAGTCTAACCCAAAATGCACAGTAGAAGCCGCCCGTTTCCATCAGCAGGATCAAGACATTTTCAACTTGGGTATTGCCACCGCCTGAGCGATTCATGTATTTTTTCACATTGCGGCGGTAGTACCTGTGGAAATCCTTAGTATGCGCTCAAAATGCAAGATTGAACTTGCCATAATTTATAGGTGATGAGAGCCGTGGCTAAGAAGTTGGTTACGAGCAAACCGAACGTTCCCAGGAAGTTTTTTGCATCCCGCGTGTACTGAGTGCCGTCAAATTCTGACTTGATGTTAAACACGGCGAGGGTGAGCGATGTGACTGTTAAGCGGTTAGCACAGCACAACTACACGTTTATCGAGGACACCAGACATACCTCCAGTCCCGAGGATACATACAGCCAGAGCCGCGTGGACTATTCGATTTTCTTGCCAGATAACCCAGGCTCTCCAGACGACGATGACGTCGCTGAGGAAATACTGGGGAAACATTTAGGGTAAATGTAGAACGAGCCAATGTCAACCGTACCGTTAGTCTCCGCAGTAAAGTCTGGGATATGTCGAGACGTCTCATTAATTCGGCAGGGTCGACGTATTCGACAGCCAGCGTCGGGAATTGTACAATTATGTAGGCCATATAGAGCGCAAGATGAGCCGTTGAAGCGAGAAGCATTGTCACAGTACTGGCAAGGAGAGCTTGACGTGCTCGTTGACCTCGCAGCCCCTTCCGTCTAGATTTGATTTAAGTTTCTGCAAGCAACAGAAATTGAACTCATCCGCACATTAGAGTGTAACTCGACATAATCCCGATACAAAGGAAAAGTCCTGATGCAGGAAATGTAAGCGAGGTCCACTGAAGGCTTAGGTGCATGCCTACCATAAAATATCGCCGCCACAGCCAGTTTCAGAAATATTATCTTCAGAGAATAGATGGTCTGACCATCGAGTCCAGGGCCAGCATCGCGGACGGTCAGCATAACGAACGAGGTCGGGGATGGCACGGAGGATACGGATTTCCAACCTTTTAAAGCATTCAAAGACTGGAAATGCTATCTAAGTTCTTCGTCGTCTCATCTCCATCTGTTGCCGAAATATGTGGAGTCCCGGAGGTTTCGGATGCTTAATAAATAAAGACTCCGGTGTTCCGAGTTTATAAATGGGCGATTGTGGCTGTCGCCGAAGCCTTTGGGATGGTTTCGACTTAATGCTAGAAGAGTTGTTGCTCTAAATCTGTGGAGACGCTCATCTGCTTGATAATTAATCATGATCATCGTCTTACGCCTTTCCCACCAACCCACTTTTGTCGAGATGAATGCCGAGATACCTGGGCAGAAGCTATGCCATTAGCAGTTAGTGGCCAGGCCAGCTGATCTTTTCATCAATAGCAAAGACTTCCGGCGCACACGGTTACGGCGTTTGAGACCTTCTATAAAGTACAAGTCAAAGTGGAACAAAGCGACCGGCGAACGATAGATTCCCGTTACTACCTACAACTTGAAGCCACCTTTCCAGCACTTTCCCAACCGATTCTCGGGATCGTATTGGTCTTTGATGGCTCGCATCCGCCCCAGGTTCTCCGGCCCAATACTGCCCATGACGTCCTGGAGACTCGAGGCGTAGTTCATGTACACGAACGGATGGAGAAGGCCCCTGTCGCGAGCAGTGCTTTCAGACCATTTCCAAAGCTCGTGGACTTTCGCCTTGAGTATCTCGTCATCCGCTCGGTCAGACCAGAGCGCCATACCGAGGACCACTAGAAATAGTTAGCACCTACATATGGGATAGATATAGATGCCCGCACCGATCAAGTCCCCGTCCTCGGGCGCGATGCCCGATGGATTCCCCCCGTTTTTCTCACCCGCGGCCGCGAATCCGTGATTTAGTGGCTGGAAGACTGCGGCCCACGAAAAACCAGAGCGGTTCAGATGTGGCTCGAAAATTTCGACCCCTTTAAGGTGGATGTCCCACAGCACAGCGGTGTCTGCTTTCAGCGTCAACGTAAACCATTGGACCCGGCCAGAGCCCGGGGCCATGGCCTGGAATTCCTCGGTGATGGACATGAGGTCGCTGACTCGCATCGTGTTGAGCAGCGCCTCGGGCACCAGCGGCTCAATGTTGGAGTATAATGGCGGGAAAGGAGTAGGTGAGAGGTAAATATTGGGCGACCAGACGACGTAGGTTTGTTGCACAGGTTCCCAGACCAGCCCAATGACGTTGAGCCCCATCGGGTCTGACGCTAAATGAGCGGTGAAGTCGACATGGGATTGGACGAGGGCCGGGCCTTTGGTAATGTCGAAGATCAGAGTCCCCGCCCAGACGTCGGTGAGCGGATAGGTCGTCATGTCGAAGCGCGTCACAATCCCGAAGTTGGTGCTCCCATATTTGAGAGCCCAATACAGATCCGGCAGTGTTTGTGCGTTGACGTCGTTAATAGTACCATCCGCAAGCACGATTTGGTAGTTCAAGATGTTTGAGCTCCCAAAACCGTGGGCAATCGACAAAGCAGAAATTCCGCCTGCAGGATGTTGGCATGAGCATATCGAAACGGTACGCTGGAGCTAACCTCCGAGTAGAAATCCACCAACACCAACCTGCAGGATGTTGTCGTGAGCATATCGAAACGGTACGCTGGAAGAAATCCACCAACATCAGGAACTCGGCCACCGACGGTTGTAAGATTGTGCGGTTCGAGCGCACCATAAACTTGGTGCCATCGGCAACCGGATCCGAAGGAAACTATCTTTCCCTCATCGAGAAGCGAAATCTGATTCATATTTTGCAAGTCGATCGTGAACCCTGTGGCGTCGACATTGCTAAATCCTTTTGAGACCATGTGGCCGCCCGAACGCACAGCAAAGGCGCAGTCGTATCGAGTCGCAAGCGTGACGATAGCGGAGACGTCTATAGCTGAGCTTGGCGATACTCTGCAAGTCGGACTAAGATCGGATTGCTCCAGAGAATAGTACGAAGCCTGCTGCGCCTGATATTCGGCCGCTTCAGGGAAGAAAACTCGGCCAGGCAGGGTACTGTTCAGAATATTGCACTGTGAACGTAAAAGTCAGACAACGACGACCAGGAGCGGATTTGTGACATACACAATGCCGGGCAACCTCCGAGACATCTGTCCGATTCTCATCCAGCCAAATGCTAGCTTGCAGTAGATCGGACAGCTCTTCATTGATAGATTCACCGACGGGCGCGTCGGCGCTGAAAATGATTTGTGTATCGTCGTTTGCGGTTGCGGCTCTGAAGGACAAGGACAAGAGCGAGGTCCAGAGCAGCCACACTCCGGCAGAGAGCATGGTGGGCGGCGAGAAGTCAACGATGGCGTTCCCCAGGTCACGCTTCCTTTATACCTTCGCTTAATAGACGATCGGCAGAGATATGTTGTGCCCGGCTATTGGATGTGTGTGAAGGAAGAAAAGAAGCAGGACCAGTGGAAACCGTGCTTATGGCCCACAGGGCTTTTGTGGGCGCACCATCCAGGGCCGCTGCTACAGCTGATGGAGAAAGAAGTTAACGTTCAAGCAACGGCATGAATGATCCGTCACGATTTACTGAATCGGTTCTAGGACGGTTCGACTTTGCACCTTCGTTGGCAGCGCAGAGAGGGTCCTCATGGGGACCTGGTTGCTACACGGATGGGGCAGTACCTGGCGGTACCTTGGAGGACAGCACGGGGAACTCACAAAAATATATCTTCTCACTTTGGCTATAGTAATATTCGGCACTCGTATTATCCTTTTTAGTTACATACAGGAATTCGAAACTTACTTATATACTTTGTACTCGAGTCGCCTCTCTTCAGACTTCCACTACATCTGTGTGCGCGAAGGCTGAGGTGAGCGACCCCCTTTTAAGAAGTCTTCCGTTCTGACTGGGCCGGGTTACCTTCCTAGGTGAATACAATTAGACTTCCGCTACATCTGTGTGCGCGAAGACTGAGATGCTTACTCAGTGCGCACACTTCAAGTCTCAATTCTATCAACCTCTTCATCCTGGAAAAACAGCTCGGCGCGCCGACTTATCTTAGGATGTTTAGCTGGCTGTTTAACATCTGTCTATCACCCCATCATGGATAGTACGTTGAGACAGTCCAATACAGCATTAATGGGGTAGTGGTAACCTGGGTCGTTGCCATTCGTACTAATGCTCGACCCGCCGGGGGTTCGATTCCCCCTTAATGCATCCCGACTTTCGTAACTTCTTTTTTGTTTCCGTCCGGCCTTGAAGCATGTGTTTTGAATTACGCAGGGCTTGGGCTTTCTGCACCCCATTCCACACCCCTTCTATTTTTTTTTCGCTTCGTAATCAGAAGAATCTTCGAAACCGCGCCCGGGCAATTGGATTTCCTGCTGTTCCAGTTTAATTCTTTCTTTTTTTCTTTTCTTGTCCCACTTGAGTCTTGTTCTCGCTGATATCAAGCGTCAGGCAGCTCAGGAGATAATGCATGGCCTTGAGGACTATGATCTAGGTAGTACTGAGGACGGGGTTCGATTCCCCGCGTCCGAATAGGAAAACGAAGGGAGCTTTTTTTTGTTTTGCTATGGCGCTGTCCCTTTGTAATTCGGTTTCGGGCACCAGGAGGCGGAAGTACCCAATAAGTCCCAGGGCAGTCTCCAAGAAATAATTCGGATGTGGTGCATGCACGGTTTCGAAGAATTACCCTTCGGCCGCGTACTTTAGAGAAGGACAGGGTTCATTTCCCCACATCCGAATGATACAGTGGGTCAGCTTTCCCTTTTTCTGCTTCGCACGTTTGTGGTGTTTTGACATTGCCGCTCGGGGGAGGATGCGATAAGTCCCTGGTCAGTTCATAAGAGATAACTCGGATGTGGTGCGTGGTGCACGGCCTCACATAATGAGATATGGGTACAGAAGTTCCAAGGCAAGACGGGGTTCGATTCCCCGCGTCCGAATCACCAATCTGTTTGGATATCTTTTTTTTTGGAAAATTTCAGCATTTCTTTTTTCCCTTCTCAGTGCGATTCAACTTTGTTCGAGGGCAATTCTTTTGGCGAAAGAGCCAAGGAGCCATTGTTCATTGAGTTGTGTAGGTGATATTATAATCAATAACCGCACATGAGGGATGCTACACTTATCTGCGCCAAATACCTGATAGTTCAAGGGCGCGCGCCCGAGCCGTTCCATTTCTGCTCAGGTGCTCCACCCAGGACATGCGACTGGATCCGGCATGAGGTGGAATGGAGAGGAGAAAATGGCTCATCGCACGTGCGTGTGTGAGGGAATGAATGGAATAGATTAATTTGGGGCGGCAGATGTAACTCACTTCAACTCGCGCATGAATTCCGGCGCCACCTACGCCAGTTGATTGAACCAGCGAGTTGCTAATTGATTGATGCTAGAGTCGAGTCATCGTCGAGCTGGCGTCTAATTGTGTAGAATTGTGCGCGTCATACTCGTCTTTTGTCAGTTTACCGTGGCGCCCGTGCGGATGACAGATGGGCGACTCGGAGAGTCAGAGTGTCCCTATGTGTTGAACGGCGTCCCGGTGATAGGTTTCAGATGGATGGCGGGCATTGCACGGGTACTGTCTAGGGTTCCGTTGTTTCTCCGTTGTGCTGCGAATTTAATTCAGTAGCTACAATTGCAACAACAGCGCCGCATCAGCGCCTAGGGTGATCGGCCGAAGAAGGTTGGACATGGAAGTTCTGCCGCGGATGCAAAGAGGCGACCGTGACGGCGCTCGATGGGCGAGTGATACGTCCGAGTAAGCGTCGGCTCGCTGAAGGTCAATTGTGAGTCAGTAAAGTCATGCTGCAGAAAACGCCTGGAAATGGCCATTGTGGCCAATTGTAACGGATTAAAATGTTGTTAGCCTCACAGCCTGCGCATATCGTTGTCTCCGCTGTCGCCTGTGGTTGTCCGCGGGGCGCACATCCGTGCCTCGCTGCAGCAACATGTTTGATGGTCGGACTCGGAGTGAACGGGAGAAAGTGACGGAAGGGACACGTGATGCTTTGGGAATGCGGCCAGCGGATGTCTGGGGGCCGAGAGGTCGCTTCTTTCTTCCCGCATCGATATCGACGGTGCTAGGACTTGTATTTTCGCTGGTAATGGCCAGCTCCAGACACCTCAATACTCCAGTCTAGTCTCCTATAACTCTGTTTGTCTTTCTGGTCTTTTTTTCCCCGTCTTCTCATCATTTTTCATCCAGAATCTGGGCCTAACTGACCAAGTCTTTGCCGCCTTTAATTGTGTTTCTTGTGCAGAATAATGGTCACCGATTCTCCCCCCGACGACGGGGCCTTACTGATGCCCTGTACCGACCTCGATCCGCATTTTTCTTTCACCTCTTGTCCTCACTCTTCTCACGGATATGTCTGTACCACCACTGCCCAGCCTCACGAAAACCAAGACCCTAGAAAACACCCTGTATATCCCTCTCCGCCGCCCACCGCTTCCCAGCCAAAACGGAATGTCCCTCTGCCCGCAGCAGCACGATACCAGCACCACTTTGGCGGGATCTTGGATTCCCCGGTGGTGCTCACGAAGGCGCCTTCGCACACCCCGTTGTCGCCGCCCCCGACGATTCCGACCCCTACACACGCACTGCCGCTCTCGGATGCCCACGACGCACACTTCGCGTCCCTTTTGCTTCCGATCTCAGAGCAGCGCGAGTCCCAGTCTCCAAAACCACAGCTGCTGTCGCCCATTTCCCCGGAATGGACGCCAAACAACAAGCCACAGGACTTGTTTGCCGTGGATGACTCGGGCGATTGTGTACTCATGTCGCAGCCGTCCGCCGGTGCTTACGACCAATATTCATTCGCCTCTGATGTGGATGACGATATTCTGGGTGGCGCGGCGTCCTTCGGGCGTCCTGCATTGCATGCCCTGGATATTCCGATGTACCACAACAAAGACGAAATGGAACTTACGCACCACGATGATGACGACCCAGCAGGGCAACCGGGCGTCCTCCTGGGCTTCCCCGGTACGCACCTCATCGAGGGTGGGGACGACCCAGACGACGCCACATCGCCGTTCGAGTACATGGCCACCTCGCCATCGTCTTCACGTTCCTCACACTCCTCGCGCGACTTTGACTCCCCCTCGTCCGAGTCGGATCTCGACGACCTGGACTTCGATCTCGACATGGGCCCCGGCCCGTCCTCGTACTCGCCATCGCCTCTGCGCTCATTCGCGTCCCTGCCATCACCGGACCTCGACGACCTTGACCTAGATATGGATCTCGGCCCGGGGCTGGGCATGTCCCCCTCGCGCCGCTCCGTGGCTTCCCTCCCGTTGTTCGACGACGACGATGCGTACCTCGCGGACTTCCCCGCCTCTCCCTCGTCCTACTCGTACGACACAGACTCATCGTCTGACAGCGGCGCCGACCCCTTCGAGCCGGACCCAGACCGCTCGATATCCCCACCGCGCAGCGCCTCCCCGCCCCTCGCTCTCGACCCCGCGTCACCACACGTGAACGCACTGTGCCTCGACCTCCCTGCGGACCTCGCGCCCCCCAAAGCCCCACCACCCCCATCCATTCTCGACCCCTACACGCCCGTCGAGCTCGCCGCGCTCCTCCCGCCCTGCCTCCCGCCCGCTGAGCTCGACGCGCTCTTGGCGGTGCGCAGCCGCGCCCGTGTTGCGCTCGCGGCTTATACCGCTGCCCCTGCCTCGGGCGGTAGTGGTGATGAGGGAGAGCCGAGTTTGGCTTTGCTGGACCACGAGCTGCGGCGCACGGTGCCGCGCGACGCGGGTGAGCCGCGGCGGCGGCGCAAGCGCGCGAAGGAGATCGGGCGCGAGGTCGATGCGCTCGTGGGACTCGCGCTTGGGCTGTTGCCGCCTTCCCCCTCTTCTGAGTCCACTGCCACTACTAGTGTTGCTCTTGACACCGGGTCCTCAAGGACAGCGGATATCAAAGACAAAGACAAGGGCGCGCTGACACTGCGGCGCGAGAAGGCGGGCCTCGCGGGCCTGGCGAGCGTGCCGCAGCTCGTGGCGCGGATGATTCTGCGACGAAGGGAGCGTTGTGTACGGGGACTGGACGGCGGCGGGGGGCGCGCGAGACTAAAGTCGCCGAGTCCCCTGCGGTGTTTTAGCTTGGAGGGGGACGAGCCACCACCCATGGCCAGTCCCATTTTGTGTCCGATGGAGCTGGACGGATAGGATGATCATCCTATCGCGTCTGGTAGGTCGGTGGTCCCTCATATTCCCCATATCATCTCTTACCTATCTATTCTGATCTGTCTCCGATTTGATTGCGTCTCGTTGTGTCCCGTTCCGTACTTACTTGCCGCTACATTTTCCCGGCCACATACACTTCATTCATACTTACTACATGCGTTTCGTCTCGTCTCGTCTCGTCTCGTTTCGTTGTTCTTCGCATGCATGCCAGCCTCCTTGACACCAACACCCAACTAGTACCCCGCATTGTGTCCGATCTGCTCCTGCTCTGCATGTACATATCCGCACATCATCTCTTCCTTGCCTTCATCCTCATACTCTCCTGCGCCACCTCTCGTCCACCCTCATCTCGTCTGTGTCGTCCAACACGCCGCGCCACCTCACTAGTTGTATTTTTTAACACTTACGCTTTACGTTCAGTTCCATTCACACTTACTTGGCCCGTTTCCTCGTCTCGTCTCGCTTCGTTCCGCCTCGCCATGTCTCGTATCGTGTTCCGTTCCGTTCCGTGCTTTTAGCTGCTGGTACCTGGTGTATATAATTTACTTACCGGATTATATTGATCTGACTGACTGACTTTGAGTTGCTTCGTCTGATTTGAGAGCGAACGAGAGTTTTGGCTGGTAGCCAAAGAAGGGAAGCCGATTACTATAAGCGGAAGAAAAGATTTGTCAGCGCGATGCTTTTATCTCGAGGAACAATCAAGGAACCAAGTTGCACGGAAGCGCTATGGCTTATATTCGCTCCCTGTTCCGCTCCGCGACTGAGGCCACGCCATGGTGCTACTAGGCTAGGCTGCAACTTTGTCCCGGACCCCGGGCGGTGGTACTAGCTAGCTGGGATTTCTCAATGGCCATCGCAACAGTATGGAGCTTTCTCGGGAGCGTTACGAGATGGTCCTAGGCTTACAAGGCTCCTACTTCGATCGACCGCTTTCAGTCCATCTCGTCACTGCGGGCCGAACGTCGTCCTTCTCGAGCTACATAGCGCCTTCCCGCGAAACTTGTACACTACATCGACGTCGACGT